GGACAATTTATCCATTTAGAGAGACTCTGCCTCAAAATATAAGAATAAAAAGGGACTTGGGACTAAGAGGCTATCTAGCTGACTTGCTCTGAAGAAATGAATCCTGCTCAGAAGAGGTTGGTCTTTGGGGGCCTGGCCTGGAAGGGCTTCTGTGCCTCTCTGACTCCTCCCTTTGCCCTCTCTACTTCCTATCAACCATGCCATAAGCAACTTTCCTCTGCCTGTCCCTGTGCCATACCATCTTGCCTTGGAGACAGTCAACTATGCACTACACACTGTCAGACTATCATTTTGGCTACAAAATGTCAGCCAAAATGAACTTCTCCTCCTTCAAGATGTGGGTATCAGCTACTGTAGCTCACCAACAAGGAAAGGAACTAAGATATGTTTTGGTACCAGAAAAATATGGTCAGTGCTGAGCTCCTACTGACCAGACACCTTTAGAATGGTTTGTGAGAGGAGTTTTGAAAGGCTTCTGTGTTGCCAACCAGAGAAACCCAGGGCTGCTGTAAACTGAGCTCCATAGAAAATTCTAGGTGTAGCTCAGAGGATCACAATGCTCGTGGAAAGGCAAATGATAAATACCAGGCTTAGGAAGTTCCTGCTGGGGACAAGGACTCCATTGGTAGTTGGACTCCAGGTCATGTGTGTTATTCTCTGGCAGAAATTTTGTCCGAATTTTGCTCATGCCTGATAGTTTGTGGGAGGTTGAGATTAAGAGCATCAGAGTAATTAATCAGGCAGAGAAACTGTAAAAGCAGTCCACCCTACAGTCTGAAGTGTGGATATTATTGAGGGATTTTAGCCAGGTTTATACTGAAAATCAAGAGCAAAAGTTCCATTTAAAAGGTTTTCAGTTTTTCCAGAAATAAAGCACCTGCAAAGATGGAGCAGAAGACTGCTTAGTTACTGAGAATATAAGCATTAAGAAGAAGCCAAGTACTTTGAACAAAAACAATAGAAAAAATGGCTTGAGGACACATGGAGAAATAGTAAGACATAACCTATAACCCCGAAAAAATGGTAGACATTGCTTCGAGGAGAAAGCCTCAGGGTACTCTGCTGGAGAAGGGACAGCTAGGGAATGTGTTCCCCAGTGTTCAGTTCACACTGCTCAGTCATCCAGGCACTTAGAAGGCTCTATGGGTGTTTTTCAAGGGCCCCTGGCTACTGCTAGACCTAGCAGCAGAATCTGACACTGTCTATGTGGTGCTGGCTTTATGAGAATGCAGAATGCAAGAGTTGTGGGATCAGGGAGGTTTACACTCAGATTTCAGAAGGGAGACTGGGAGGAGCAAAGATGGTGGATAAATAACAACTGGCTACAGAGGCTCCCTGAGATAGTCAACTTAGACTTCAACATAATACAGAGTGGGGATCCCCAAACACAGGGAGATGAATTCTCTCATCCCAAAAAGAAACTAAGGTAAGAAGAAGCAACCAAACATACAGTTCCAGTGCTATTATTGGAACAGCTAAAGGTTCAGTGTTCCCGCTGCAGTGGGCAACTTGCTGACCATCCAAGGTCCCGCCGTGACTTGCCAAGGTCCTGCCATGACTTTCTGATGTCCTGCTGTGACGTGCAGAGCCATCCGAGGTCCCATCGCTTCAGCTCACTAGAGGCGCATTGCATTCAGGGGTTGGTGAACTGAACGGAGGGCTGAATTGGTGGGGAGCCTACATGGACCTGTGGTGAGTGATGGGAGTGGAGCTATTCCATAGAAAGAGGGGCTCTGGTGGATGACATTCTGGGACTGGGCTGGACTGGCAAGTACAAGGGGCAGCAAGTGACTTCAGTCAGTTGTTCCCTTCCTGAACAGGATTGGTGGACTGAGCTAGGCCTGGGTCACGTGGACCTGGCTGAGACCCAATAGGTTATCCGAAATCAAGTTCCTACAGTGGAGACGCACACTCACCACACTAACCCAGTGAAGCATCAGAAGTTTGACTGACCCAGAGGGGAGGTGGCACAAAGCAATACAGTGCAGGCCACAGCAGCTTGACTGACCCAGAGGGGAGCGGCCAGCATATGCTGTCCCTGTCTGCAATTCACTAGCACACAGTAGTGGGAAGGGTCATCTAGTCAGTGCGTTTCAGAAGAATTGTAACCAACAAAGAAAGAAACTGGGGCCTCCTGGAAGAAACAAAACAGATGGGAAAAGGAAGCAACAACAAAAAGTCCCCAGGTCCCAACCCTGAGAACACTGACCCAGGACAGGTAAATACAAAGGAGAATGAGAACAGCAAACGTGCAATATCAGACACAGCACTGGTGGACATAAAGAGATATATTCGGGACTTCATAGACAAGTTCAAAAGGGAAATATTTAGCCAAGTAAAACAAGATACAAGAAGATTAATAAAAGAGATACTAAGCACCCCTCAAGCAGACATAGACTGAAGAAGGGAGGAACTCAAAGGAGAGAACCATTTGATTAAGAATATAAAAAATAGGGGCTGGGGGTTTACAGAGGCTCCCTGAGAACAAGGAGGATAAACAGAAAACAAGAGGATAACAGAAACGAGGCAGAGAAGATTTTATTCAAAACTGATATGATTGATAGTATCAAGTCTGAGAGTATAGGCAACTACACTGAAGATGACAAGACTCAATGATAACATTCTGGTTTGATAACTACTGGTTTTTGAGGTTCTATACTATATACAAAGTTGTGTTTTTGTTAATACTGTTATGTATTGATATATTCAATTATACTATATCTGATGATATAGCCAATTCTATTGGAGATAACAAGAGACAACACAGGAACCATGGTAGAACTCTTTGTACAATGGTCTTATATGTTTATTTCGCTTCATCTGTTTATAGGGGTATGTTTTGTTTTGTCTTGCTTTGTTTTGTTTCTCTCTCTAATATAGAAAGGATAGAAATACATGTTAAGACTCATGCATGTGTAGAATCTATAAATAGTTTATGAGAACTGATCATATGATACATGATGAAATGAACAGATACTTTGAAGAAAAAGAGACACTAAAATACCCAGTGCTGATCCTGAAGTGTCTTAATGTGAAACCCAGCAATAGTATTATTCTTTATTCAGAGTGATATTAGCCTGTTTGGGGTTTATTCAATTTCAACATAATTGAAGATATGGATAACTGCATGTATGTTTAAGTCTATAGGATTGATAACCATATTTCTAAGTTTTTGATGGATAATTGAACAGAACTGGTTGGAATCTCACTGTGTGAATCCCCACTTTATATGCTCCACTTTAGTATCTTGAATAACTATTTGTAAGAAGACAATCTGTAATCATCAACTAGTGATTTCTTACTGTTTATTTTTTTCTTTGAAATTATGTATTATTTCTACCCATTTTCTGTTTTGTTTAGTCTTTCTTTAAATTAAATTTTTAAAAAAGACACTATAGTACCCAGCGCTGATCCTGGAGTGTCACGATGTGACATCCAGCAATATTATTATTCTTTGTTGAGAATGATTTTTAACCTGCTTTAGTTTGTTTAATCCCAGCATACATGAAGATATGGATACTACATGTATGTTTAAGTGTATAGAATTGATACCATGTTACTAAGTTTTTGTTGGACAGTTGAATAGAACTGTTTGTGGTCTCTGTTTGAATTCCCACTTTACATGTTCCATTTTTGTATCTTGAACAACTATTTGTAAAACGACAAACAGTAAACATCAACTAGTGATTTCTTACTACTTATTTTTTCTCCAAATGTATGTATTATTTCTACCTATTTTCTGTTTTGTTTAGTCTTACTTTAAATAAAATAAAAAAAAAAAAAAGAAGGGAGGCCGCATAGCGTGTCCCTGAGAAGGCAGTGGGTGAAAGTGCGACGGTGACCCCAGAAATTAAAGAAGCCAAGAATGTGGACCATCCGAGGAGAGTCACAGCCAGCCTGTGACAGAAGCAGTAAGGGCTACAACCATCAGCAGTGCCGTAGGGTTGGAGCCACTCGAGCATCTCAGATTTCACTTTTCCTCATGTGCTAGACCTCAGTCTGCAGGATTTAGTGTTTGCCCTGCTGGATTTCCATCTTGCTTCAGTTCCATTGGTTTCTATCTTCTTGTTCTTTCTTTTTGGAATGGGAATATTTACCCAGGCCCTTGTGTGTTGGCAGCATTTAACTTCCTTTTTGATTTTGACAGGGGCTTATAGCTGAGAGTTTACCATAAATCTTAAAAAGGAAACTTTGGCTTGGATTTCTCAGCAATGGTGAAACTTTTATGTCTTTGGCAACTCTTAGAGATGGATTAAATGCACTTTGTGTTAAAAAATGTGCATAAGTCTTTCGGAGAGCCAGGAAAGAATGTTATAGTTTGTATGTAGGTATTTCCTTAAAGCCTCATGCACTCAAAACAGGGCTTTGGAAAGGTGGCTGTATTGTGGGGATAGCTGAGTTGCTGTTAAGCCGTGGGGCCTGGTCAGGAGAGGCTGGTCACTGGGGTGAAACCTGGAAGGCCTTCTCTGCCTCCCCGACTCCTCCTTTTGCTCTGTCTGCTTCCTATCTGCCATGTCTTGAGCAACTCTCCCCTTTCATCCCCCTGTGCCCAATCTTCCTTCTCCGAGTCAGTCTACTATGGACTAAAACCTTTATAAACTGTGAACCAAAATAAACCTTTCCTCCTTTAGTTTGTGGGTCATATATTGTGTTTCAGCAATGAGAAAGTGAGTGTGACAATGATTAATGGCTACATAATAATAATACTTCTCGCCAGGAGTGGTGGCATACATTTATAATCTCAACTCTCTGGGAGGCTGAGGTAGAAGATAGCATGTTGGAGCCTAGCCTGGGCATCTCAGAAAGAGTCCACCTCAAAGTAAAGTACAGTAAAGTAAAGTAAATAAACAAATAAGGGCCAGAGATGCAGCCCAATGCCAAGACTTAAGAGTTTTATGCCAAGTACCATATCACAGACAAAACCAAAACCAAACACAACACAATAAAAACAAAAATACTTTTAGGGGTTAAAGTGTCAGATGAAGATTTTCCCCAGAATATTTTCCAAAAATTCTTAGATAGTATGAGTCTATGAATGCACTGTTAGAACAGATGTAACTGGAAAGACTTTGAATATAGTGTCCAGAAATTTTTAATATTTTCTTTAAAAATTGTTGGATTTCAAGCAAGGTGACCTAGGTTCACATTCTAACTGCATGATCCTAAGTGAATCATCGCACTCGTCTAAATCTCATTTGCAGAATGAGAAAATGACTCATAACGGCTGTGTGCAGCTTGAAACATTCTTACCATAATTAATGGCACAGTGTGTTGGCAACATGCTCCTGGCTGCACTGTGTGGGAAACACTGTGTGGGGCAGTGCCGCTGGATTCCAGTGTGTGGGCTCCCCAGCCTCACTCACTGTACACCGCCTCACCTTCCACATGTGGGATGGAGTAACAGCAGTTGGTATTGGGGTCTGCCATCCTTAATTCTTTCCTAAAGGTGGAGACAGTCATGTCGGTTTTTCCATGATAATGAAAAATCTATTTGTCATTAATATGCACTCTCTTAACCTGTGAAAGCTGGCCTGGCAGAAGCAGCTGATGGTAAGGAGACAGGTCAGAATTCCTGGGGCCAATGACTGCCTCTCTAAGCCTCCCTTCTGCACCCCTGAAGTGGATATTCTTATACCCATTTTTCACAGTTCCCACGGGGAGTGACTGAGATAATTTATGTTCCACTTCTAAACAGATCTGCAGGCATTCCCTCTTCTGAGCTCACACTTGATAGCTCCTCTCAAAACTCTCTTTGGTGTTAGGATGGTGCTGCCTTCTGAGAGTTAGAATATTGTCTTTTAAATTTTCCAAAGCTTTTTAACATGTAGGAAGCCAAAGATGCATTAGCTGGGACAATAGGTCAATTTCAGTAACCTTGAAATGCTTGAAAAAACAATTTGCTGACTCATTTTGTTTGCTGAGTACACAGAGTTTTAGTATTTTTGTGCTAAAGATTTATTTAATATCCTATCATTTAATTAAAGGGAGGCTGCTGGGAGACGGTTTTCGCCTGTTCCAAACTGCCCCTCTGCCTTCCCTACTTTGTGAAGATTTCCCTTCTTGGGGGGAAGTGGCTTTGTGCAGGCAACATTTCTTAGATGTTTTATGCGGCAGTTTGACTTGAGGGTATTTATGGATGGGGACTCAGGTTTCAGACTGTGGGCTGGGAGGAGTTTTGGCCAATCAGGAGGCAGATTTCCTCAGGTCATTTGCATCTTGCAGCCCACTTTCCAGAGGCAGGATCACGTTGGTGAAATACATCCTTGGGGGATGTCAGGGCTTTGGTTAAGGTTTCCTTTTACTCCTTAGCTGCTGGTGCAGTTCTGATGATAGCTATTTCACGTGCGCACGCAGCACTTAGGTAGGTAGAGCTGTCAGGAGACTGTAAAATCTCGCTCATTTTGTGATTGCACCTGAAGAAGACAAGAATGACAATGAATCTTCTGCACCGTTGTGTTATTCTGCTCATTAATACATTGATTTGTGGCTTGTTGTTTTCTTTGGTGCAATGTGACATTAGTACCTACAAAAGGCAAGCATGTATGAGAATGCTTTAAAGCAAAACCCTTTTCTGCAAAGGTAACAATGTTCTAAAATTGGAAAGAAGTGCAAACTCGGGTGAAAAAAAGAAAGGAGGAAAGAAAAAGAAAAAAGAAAAAATTAAATAAACCCTGTAGTAGCTGGATTCTTCTTTTTCTTCCCAGCCTTTTAGGCAGTTCAGTTTCCCCAACATGTTATTTTATTGCGTCTATTTTTTACCAATATTTCCAACACAGGAAAACATTAGCAAGTTCATATTGATGCTTCGCAATGCTATTTGATCATCTTCTGCTTTTCCAGCTATTGGCATACAATATGCCCTCAGATTCAATGCTTAAGATGGATTTTACATGAGAATTCACTTCAAACCCCTGAACAAACACCCAGGCTAGAGACGGACTTGTATATTGCATGAACCTTATACAAACATGAACCTTATACAAACATGGCTGTTGAGCTCGGGCACTGTAGAATTCAGGAAATGATTCTAGCTGAGAATAGTACTGAGATCTGGAATTTTATGTCGTGTTACTTGTTTAGAAGAAGCTATGAGCCAAATGTGGTAGCTCATGCCTGTAATCTCAGCACTTGGGAGGCTGAAGAAGGAGAATTGGCTTCAGTTTGAGGCCAGCTTGGGCTATGTACTGAGTTCAAGGATAGCCTAAACTACACAATGAGAACCTATCTCCAAAAAAAAAAAAGAAGCAGAAGAAGAAGAAGAAGGAGGAGGAGGAGGAGGAGGAGGGAGTACAAGAGAAAAAAATCTAATATAGTTGTAATTAGTACCAGACCCAACCAAGAAGGCAGAGGGAGAAGAATGGGTATCTTATGGGCTGTCAAGGAAGATTACAAAACAAAAAAAAAAACCAGAACAGAACAGAAAGGAACGGAACGAAACCAAACCAAACCAACCCCAAAACCTTCAAGTGTCCTCCAGGTCCACAGAAATTCTGAACCAGCACGGTTGTGGCCACACCCGTCCTCCTGCTGGCTGGTGGGGCCCAGGGCTTCTCAACACTGTAAGTCAGGAGATAGGGCCTCTACAGGTAGCTTCCATGACCACTGGTCTGAGAAGATACAGGTCATCCTGCAAACTGATGAGTGTGATCCACTGCCATTAAACATGGATGGGGAAGTCCTTCCCCAAGGCCAATGCAGCTGGGCAGAATCTATTTCTAAAAGCTGTCTACTGCTTGAAAAAGGCTAAGCCCCTCCCCTTCACACTCCCTTACAGGCATTCTCTTGCGGTGCTCTTAATCTGCCCTGGTGTCCAGGAGTGTCCCTCTCTGTCTGTCAGGGTGCTGCACATTCCCTGACCTGACTCTTTTCTCTTAGCCTTTGTGACCTCAGGCAGGGGCTCCAAGAATATCTGCTGTGTCATGTCTTCTTTGGACATGGACCTGGGTGCCACCAATTGGAAGTGGACAAGGACATCATTGTTCCAGAGCCCAGCAGGTACACTTGTCCGTATGTGGATACAGGAGCTCGTGTTTCTGTCTCCTCCCAGGTGCTGCAGTAACACAGGAACCAGCTCTTTCAAAGGAGCTGACTGTGTCAAGTTCTAGAGGGGAGAAATCAGTACAGGTTTGGCAGGCCAGGGACAAGAATCCATTCCAGGAGCTCTGGAGCTCTGGAGGTTGCTGGAAGTCATTGGCCCTCCTTGACATGAAGCATCACCCTGACATCCGCCTCAGTTTTCACATGGCTTTCTCCCTGAAAATGTGTCTGTCTCTGTGTCCAAATCTTCCCTTTGTGTAAGGACAGCAGACATATTACATTAGGTCCCCCATCATGACCTTATCTCAACAAAGACCCTACTTTCACATAAGGTACTGAGAGCCAGGACTCCGGCATCTTTTGGGGAAGAGTTTTAACCTGAGAGCTGTCAGGTGTGCTCCACACCTGACTTGTTGGGCACCGGCCGTGGGGGACATGAGTGGAGGAGAGGAAACCACTGCTGCTTGGTGGTTTGGCCTTTGATCCTTGGGCCAGGTGGTTATGCACGAATGAGAACACTGCTTTATTCTGAAACTGCATCCTAGCCCCGCCCCCAATTTCACCTCAGAGCTGAGGGTCCCGTGGGTGCCATGGTGACCGAGCCTTCAGGACAGTTCTCCACACTGTACCTACCCTGCTTTGCTTTGGAGCAGACTTCTTGCAAGGTTCTGCTGTCTGACCAGATCCAAGTACACAGATACGAGGTGAGAACCTAGCACTTACCCTGATGTGTAGACAGGTGGCTGGGCTCTCTGTGAAAAGGTAGCTGTTGCTTTTCTTGGAGGCTGGGAGCATTGGGAATGGGCAAAGGCTACTAGGTGCAGTCCACGTCCTTCCCATTGCTCAGCAGAATGAGCTGTTGGAGAGTTTGCAGGCCTTGTTGGAGGTAAAAGTGGTGCTGTAGGGACACAGGCACTGAGAGGGCTCTCAATGGGCCAGAACTTCCATTTAGTATGTGGGCTCCAAGCGTCATTCCTAAACTCAGAAGCACACACTCTGGGGCACGGATACCTTCAGCAACCCTTGTTCTCTCCGGTTCACTGAGTGTAAGTTCACTGTCCTCTTTCCAACTGTAGAGGGAAGTGAGAGGTATGCAAAGGAGATTATTGACTCCTGCTTATCTTCTAAAGTGCAGCTCTCTCCCACTCTGAGGATCACCACCTTCACAGCAGGCTGTGGGCCCCGGCTCCCTTGTGGCCTTGCGTCAGAGCTGTACATACCGAGGGCCGGTTGCAGCTGATCTTACTCAGGAAAATCCAGCACTATTCTGATATTCTTCAAAAATGACGCAGTGCTGTGGCTTTGTAGAAAAAAATGTAAGATCTATATAACACTTAGAGGTTTTTTAACTTAAAAAAACTTATTGGAGGAATAAATTATTAAATTCTTAATTTAGAATCCCCAGGATAATGAAAAAAACTGTAGTGAGCTTTTGAGTTAAATTCCTTCTCCTGGGCTTCAGCCTGATCTTTCTGTTGCTCCACGTCTTCTTCCCTTTGAAGAGGTCCATGGCTGCAGGTCTGATGAGAGGGTTTCCAGCCACTGAGAGCGAAGTCTCAGCTCCATTCTTCTAACAAGAATTAGGATGAGACATACACCTGTATGTCACTCTTAATTACATTTATCACTAAAGTTGGCCAAGATGTTTTCCTCATTCATAACACCTTCTGAAGAACATTAAGGTAGGTAGATTTTGATGCCACTTTTCAATCCTTTTACAAGGTTTGCACCTGGGGAGCCCCACGTCTGCATGGCTGGTGTACTCCCATTGTCATCATCAGCGTCACCGTCACCTGCTTTCCTGTCCTCCTCTTCAGGGTTGTGCACTAGAGCGAGGCTGCAAGATAGGGCTCTAAGTCTAGGTGTGGCAGGGAGCTGGAGCTGGAATTGTTCCTGTTTGGGGCTTCAGCATCTTCAGCCTTAACATGAAAGTAGTGATACCTTGTCTATGAGCCAGATGTGTGTGGGCGACAAAGGAGACAAAAATCTGTGGAAACAGACATATTTGGGGCTTGCCTTTGTGGTCAGTTTTCCTGAGAAATTAATCTTGAGATGAAATTTCATGTGCTTTTATCAGGGACCCAATAATAAAGCACAAAGAGAGGTGTTGAACTGAAGCTTCTGCTGATTCCAGGGGAGCTCTGACCCACGGTGGGCCTTGTACTCATCCAGAATGAGGGCAAAGGGAAGGCTTTGGAAACCCACATGTGGGCCATTCACTGCAGACAGCGTAGCCTTGCAGGTCTCAGATCTGCACGGATCTTCCCAAATTCAGTAGTTTATCTCACAGACAGTTGGGGATTTCATGAAGTCCAAGTGATGCTGCTCAAGATGTTCCCACGGTCACTAACACTCTTTAATTACAATCAGCAATTAAACACAGGTGATCACCAGGGAAAACAGCACAACCGCATCAAAAGACCTGCATCACACATCTAGCAATCAAGAGGCCTTCAGGGAAAATGACTTGGCCTCTTGTAGCTCTACAAAGATGACTTTTTGTGAGACAGTACTGAGAACTAAAAGATGTCTTATCTTGCTATCATATAGGTCTATTAAAAAATTATGCCAAAAAAATGAAGCCTTGAAATATACTTTGAGTCGAAGGGTTACAGCAAAATTGCAATGATAACCTAAATTTTGTAAAAATTAAAATAAACTTATCTGTATAATTAGATTTTATTTCTTTTCAAGGTATAAACTGGGCTCTCTTTCTCACTATTGACTGTAAATTTCCATTCTCGGACAAGCTTTTTTGTCAGATAAACTTTTCCTGGGAACAGACGTTTTCAGATGACACAAGTCGTCTCCTGCCCAGGGGGTAGGGGGACAGTCCTCTCAGATGTGGGGTCTAGACAAGAAGATAGGATGCACTGCAAGTCTCAGCGCTGGGACTCAGAAGAAAAGCTGGTGCCTGGATCAGCAGAACGTTTCCCTCTGGAACCGTTTGTTCTTTCCTTGTTCTTGCTTCCTATACGTGTCTGTCCTTTCTTCTCATGTGTACATGCAGTGACAGTTGGAGACAGAACAGAGAGAATGCTGCACGTTGGACATCAGCCAGAGGCATCTCCTCTGCTGCGTCTGGTCTGGCTTCTTAGTTCATCCCAAAGTGCACATAGTGACTGGGAGAAGGCCCTGAACATGAAGCCTATGTTTCACCTCCTGCTGGGTGCCCTATGATTGGCTCATTTGGCTGTTTTCCATGATGTGTAGTCTGTCCTCTTCCTTCCATAAGATTCACTGCATACATTGGCATCTGCTGGGGCTAGAAGAGTCCCTCAAAGTTCATGTGATCAGAGTCTCACTCCCAAGCCAGAGAGCTGGGAGGCGGGATGTAGTGGGATGGGCTTGGGTGGTGAAGACTCTGCCCTGGTGA